GCTGGTATGAAATGGGGAGGATGGTGGCCCTGCATGTGGCAGGGTGCTGGAGCTTCATGATCCTTGAGGTCCCTTCCAACCCAGGCCATTCTGTGATTCACAGGGATGGTGATTGTGTGGCCACAGGGCTGTGCTGTCACCAAGGGCCGTTACTATAAAGTTTTCTGATAGCTGCTGCTTTCTGACATGTGTTGCTGTGCATGGAACCGTGGTCTTCCCATGGGATTTTCTGCCGTTTTGCAGTTGGGCCAAAGCTTTTGCAGTACGTTGTGAAAGTCATTGCACAGACCGTGCAGCTACTGTACACGATGCTGAGGATGGATCCGCCCTCCTATGTTCTCCTCCAGGTATGTCTGTGTGTGGGTAATGTTACTGGTTTTGCATTGCAATGCATTTTTAGCAGCGTTGGACGCTGGCCTTCTGTATCAAATTCAGCAAGCTCTGTGTTCATTAAGATCCTTTAATGGATTGTAACCTTCTCCTTTTTATTTTCCCTTTCTCTCTGTTTGCTGTTCCTTTTGCCCTATTGCTATCTACCAGCATAGGAGAAAGGGGAATGATTTCAATCTGAAAGATGAGCAATGTAGATTAGATATTAGGGGAAAGCTGTTTACTGGAGGGCTGGTGTGGCCTTGGCACAGACTGCCCAGAGAAGTTGTGGATGCTCCATTTCTGGCAGGCTGGATGGGGCTCTGGGCACCTTGATGGGGTGCTGGCAGAGCTGCCTGGGGAAGGGCTGCTGAAACTCAGTCATCTCTGAAGTGTCTTCCAGGCCATTCTGTTACAGTTCTAGTTAGGTGTTTGTCACTCGACCTGAGTCTTAGAGTATTTTCCTCTTTTTCATTAAACAGAATCCTCCTGGTTTGCCCAGTATAGCTGTTGCCTGGGTTGCCTGTCTTTTCTGGAGAAGCAAGCTGATAATCGATTGGCACAATTATGGATACACTATCATGAGTCTGAATCATGGAAGGAATCACCCGCTAGTGCTCATTGCAAAATGGTTTGTACAGTAATTACTTCTCTTTATTAATTATGTCCCTTTGCAGGACTTGGAACAGTGGGAAGTAGAGAGGAGAATATCATTAGGAAAGGTTTGTTTCCATGAACAAGTTCTGGATTTTGCTATGTTGAATTGTCATTTCAGTAAAAGTGTTCTCTCATATGCCTTTGTTAAAGACTTAGGAAGGTGTTGGTAGTTGGAATTCTGCAGAATACACTGAAGATTCTGTCTGGGTGCATTTCTTCTGTATCTATGTAGCTTGAAGGAATTAGATTGTTTTCTAAAGTAATTTGTGAGCAGCTTCTACAGATTCCTTTCTTTCACTTTCTATTATATACTGTAAGACATTCAGCTTAAGGGTTAGGAAGTATTCTTGTACCTATGCAGGATAAAGTGCAGAAAGCACGTTTTGTTCTAAGAAGAATAGGCTGTAACAAAAAAAAACCCAACTATTAATTAAATTGAGGAGATGGCACCCAGTACAATGCGTGTACAGTACAGTGCTGCCCTGTGAGCTACCCAGAAAAAGGAAAATGAAGTCATCACAAACCTTTGTCTTTAGGTTGGTGTGTAAATGCTGCAAGAGCTGTAAGGTTTGCTGTGGTTTAAATGTGCTCCCTTTAGTTGAACCTGTTTGGTGAAGTAAGTGGAGTGCAGATGCAAGCTTGGATTTTGCTGCCATAAGTCTGTCTAGTGTAGTGGTTTCTATTTTAATTCCTTATTCTCTAACACTGCTTTCAACTCCAGTCCATCCTTAAAGGTCATTTTGTTTCTTGCTGAATCAACATGACTACTTCTTGGTAACAGCTTTAGAGGCTTTAGAGGGTTGTGTTCTTGGGCTTTAAAGGACGAGGAATCACACATATCCCTCTCATGAACTGATATCGCTGTACAAAGAAAAGATGTGTAATTGTTAATTAAGCTGAAAGTACTGGGAGCAGTTGAGATTCTTTTGTTTTTGTTTGGCTTTTAGTTAGCATCAGTGCTGGAGAGCACTTACTGCATGTGTTGGGGTTGCCTTGGCTCCTTACCAGGTTTTAATTTCTGTCAGGTACGAGAAGCTTTTTGGGCGTTTGTCTGACTGTAACCTGTGTGTCACTGATGCCATGAAGGAAGATCTGTGGGTGAATTGCAACATCAAGTGAGTTTAATCCTCTTAACGTTCTGTGTGTGCTCAAAGCAAGGTGAAAGCCTGGTGAGCCTGGGTTCAGAGTAATGCTGGAGAAGCTACTCTTAGGGCAATTTTGTCTTGTTTTTATGGTTGTGTTTCATCTATTGAATAGACTCCTAAGAAGGACATCCTTCATACGGGATTTTTTGTTGGACCTGATGTTCATTTAACTGGTGAATTTATTCCATTGCAGGGCCGTAACGCTGTATGACAGGCCAGCTTCTTATTTTAAGGAAACACCATTAGAACTTCAGCACCAGTTGTACATGAAACTTGCCAAAGACTATGAAGCCTTTAAACCACAGCATGTGTAAGTAAAGCCTGCAGTTACAGTCCTTAACTGAATGGCACGAGGTTATGGCATTTGGTCACCAGAAATACCTTCAGATGGAGGCATAAGCTCCTGCATATCAACAGGTGCTGGTCTTTGTATGCTTTTGGCCAGGAGCAGATACTGTGCAAGTGCATTTAATTGCCACTGGAGAGGCCAGAATGCATGAAATCCCTGAACTGTGATAGCACGTGGCTTGGTGTGTAAACTAAGTGGGGTTGGTTGGTTGTTTGCTGTAAGTGTTGGCACTTAGGGAGGCTGTAACAATATCTGAAGTGTGAAAGTAGTTGTCTAACTCCTGCTGGACAAGTTGGCAATGATTGGATGCCACATTCATAGCCTTAATTTAGGAGTTGTCTTAATAATGAGCTCTCCATTCATTTAATATGGAGAGTTTTCAAGGTCTTGCTCTAAGCATTAAGCATTTTCTTTTGGTTATGTGCAGGATGTTCACTGAAATGGACAGGCAGCTGCTATACCAAACTAATGCCTGAAATGAAGGGGGAATCCACAGTATACAGCAGCTTCCTTTTTGGCAATGCCACCCTTTGGTTGTGTGGGTTCTGACTTTAATTAAAGAAATGCATCGTTGGCTGTCGCCTTTTAATTTGTATTTGAGACAGGGCTGGAAAGACAGTTGAGAAAGCTGCCTTAAGGAGAGCAGAGCATGAGAATATGGGGATGTGCTTGTAGCAGTAGGAGAGGTTAACAGCAATCTCCTGCCATCAGGGACGTCTCTGCAGTAATGTCTGTTTCCAGAGGAGTTGTGTGGCAAATCTGAAACCGAGTGCTTGGAAATTCGTGCCTCTGAGGCACTGCATTTCCTTCTGTGTTTGGCTGTGTTTGTGTAGCCTGTATTCAGAAAGTTCTGTTTATGCAGTGCAGAGTCTGTCAGTTGGAGTGCTGAGAGGTCTGCCTTTACAGAAAGGGATGAGAAGAGTGGGGATGTGATGAAAAGCAGAGGACGGCCAGCTCTTCTCATCAGCAGCACCAGCTGGACAGGTTTGCAGACTGTTAATTTTTAATATATTGGCACTTTTTAATGAAAGAAAATCAGGTCTGTTTGTACTTCCCCACACTGGACGCTTGCCGTGCTGTATTTCCATCACAAGTTACAACAATATCTGGTTGTAGACTTTCAAAAATGAGCATAATTGCAGCAAACTTTTAACAGGAAAAGCATGTTCTGTACTTAAATCTTTGAGGTGTAATTGATGAATGCTGAAAACAAGGATGTTGCTAATAAGGCCCTTTCTTTCAGAGGATGAAGACTTTTCAGTCCTTCTGAAGGCATTGGAAGGTCAGTACTGAGGAGTGCCTCTCATCTGCACAAAGGTGGTGCTTTTTTGCTGGATAGCTGGTGAGGGCTTTTTCTAAATTATACTGCCTCTGTATTCAAGTGAAAGTGCAGCTGTGTCTGATGGGTTGGCAGTGGTTTAAGAGTGGGAGCTGACATGAGAAATGAGGCATCTGAACTCAACTCAGGGTGGTGCTGTGGGGGAATTGTACCTCTGCCTTGTAAATTGCAGTTTATATTCTGAGCTGTGTGCATACTTTCCACAGGCTGCTGATAATAGGAAGCACTACAGCTCTGGTTTCTAAATTCGTGTACTGAAATGGCCAATATGGCCTAGTCAGAGAAATGTTTCATGGTTAATGCTTTCTGAACATACTGTGATGCATTTCTATAGAGGTTTGTGGATTCAATGTGTGAAAACTCACAACTGTTTGGTAGATAAACGTTTATGAAGAAATTACTTGAAGTAGGAAGCTGAATTATTTGCATGCAGTGACCCTTCATGATCAGCCACCCATTTACTTGTCAGCTTTAAACAGATCTTTGTCTTCCCCAGATTATGAGCAGTATATCAATGAGGGAGTCAAGCTTCCAGCTTTAGTGTGTGTGATAACAGGTAATGCTTTCTTTGTGTCATAATTCTTTCTTTTTGCTTTCTGCTCATAGAGGAGTTCACTTTTGTACTCTTTGCTCTGATGTCCAAGGGAGAGCAGGCTGTGTTGTCTTTATGTGACTGGAAGTCAGAATAGTAATTTACAGTTGGATTCTTACAGCAATGTAACCATGGTATGTTTTTAAAGAGGGGAGGCTCTCAGCTGCCTGTCTCACACAGCTGGGGTTGCACCATGCTCAGCATTTAACCTTAGCATCCTCAACATCAAGGTGCTGCAGCAAAAGCAGCAGGAAGGCTGATGTTTGGAATGTTTTAAGCAGAAAAGTTTTCTTCCTGCTGACAAAAGGAACAGACTAAATCTTAACATGAGCAGATTGTCTTAATCCTGTCTTAACAGGAGCAGATTGTTCTGATCCTGATGGCTGTAAACAAAGTGCACATCAGCACTGGCTGGTAGTGATAGCAGGCTCTTTCAGTTTAGTGCCAGTTCCCCTTGCTTTCAGGAGGACTTCATCTCTTAGGTGTCTTTTGGAGGGTGATGGTATATTTTGATGCCTCTCAGGGAGTTTGTCAGCTGTACAGCAGCATGCACTGATTGCACCTGATTTTCAATCATCAAAAATCACTGCTTTTTTTTTTTCCTTGCTTTAAAAAGGCAAAGGACCCCTAAAAGAGTACTACAATGGGCTGATAAAGAAACTGCACTTCAAACATATCCAGATCTGTACACCATGGCTGGAAGCTGAGGATTACCCAGTTCTACTTGGTAAACAGTGAATTATGATGTAGATTTGATGTGATGAAGTATGGAAAAACAAGTCAGCAGAGTCATAGTACCTGTGTTGCTATTACTGCCTGTTATTTTTTTCCACCCATTTTTCTAACTGTGCTGGAATACAGTGTGTGTGTTCATGTTCCAGTTCACTCTCTTAAGCAGGTCAGAAAAGACACCTCAGTTTTTGACTGAGCACCCAAAAGAAGCTGCAATTCTAAATAATGATGTTTTTGGAATGGTGTTCCCTTCATTTGTGCTATTGCAAGCAGTGTGATAAGCTCAGTACAGTAGTCATAAAATCGTAGAATGGTTTGGGCTGAAAAGGACCACAGTTATGCAGCTCCAACCCCTGCTGTGTGCAGGTCACCAACCAGCAGCCCAGGCTGCCCAGAGCCACATCCAGCCTGGCCTGGAATGCCTGCAGGGATGGGGCATCCACAGCCTCCTTGGGCAGCCTGTGCCAGTGCCTCACCACCCTCTGGGGGAAAAACTTCCTCCTCATATCCAACCCAAACCTCCTCTGTCTCAATTTAAAATCATTCCCCCTTGTCCTATCACCATCCATCCTCACAAACAACTGTTCCCTCTCCTGTTTTTATGCTCCGTTCAAGTACTGAAAGGCCACAATGAAGTCTCCCTGGAGCTTTACCCCTTTCCAAGCTAAACAAGCCCAGTTCCCTCAACCTTTTCTCACAGGAGAGCTGCTCCAGCCCTGTGACCATCTCAGTGCCCTCCTCTGGACCCACTCAGAGCCCAGCTCCCTCAGCCTGTCTTTGCAGCGGAGGTGCTGCAGCCCCTGATCATCTCTGTGGCTCCCCTGCACCCTCTCCAACAGCTCCCTGTCTTTCTTGTCCTGGGGGCTCCAGCCCTGGACGCAGTGCTGCAGATGGGGCCTCACAAGAGCAGAGCACAGAGGGACGGTCACCTCCCTGTCCCTGCTGCCCCCCCTTTTTCACGCAGCTCAGAACACAGCTGTCCTTCTGGGCTGCAGGCGCTCACTGCTGCCTCAAGTCCAGCTCCTCACCCACCAGGACCCCCAAGTTCTCCTCCTCAGGGCTGCTCTCAAGGAGATCTTCCCCCAGTCTGTATCAGTACCTGGGATTGCCCCAACCCAATGCAGCACCCTGTATACATGTACATATCCAATTTGATCTTGGGTTTCAGATCAATATCTCTTGCTCATATTCAGCTCACATCACCTCAAAAAAAAGCCCCACGTACATATGAGTATGCAGTAAGAGCAGAAGAGCTGCTTCAGAGAATTCAAGGCCTTGTCTGCTTTGTTTGCTTTTTAGGGTCAGCAGACTTGGGTGTGTGTCTCCATAAGTCATCTAGTGGATTGGATTTGCCTATGAAGGTGGTAGACATGTTTGGCTGTTGCTTACCTGTGTGTGCAATATATTTTGAATGGTAAGAGTTTGCTTATTCTGCTACCAGGATTTAAAGGATCATATAAGCACTGTTCTTACAAAGAGTTCAGCAGCTTCTGCGTGTATCAGTGAGATTCCAGTATTGTGCTTTAACAACTTCTGGTTATGATTCAAAAGGACAAACTTTAAATGTCAAAATCGTTTTATTTAAGGGCAGCTAAAAATTAGCATCAGTTTCTACAAACTGTGGAGCATTTAATGCAACCACTTGCTTTGGAAATGAATAACCATCATCCTGTGTTGCTGTGTACTTCATTTAAAAGACAGTCAAAGCTTCATTCTGTGTAGACAGGTGTGTGTTGTGTGAAGAGGGGAATATATGCAGTAGTGCACAGTCCTTTGGGGGGAAAATGCAGTTCTGACAGATAAATAGGTATTAATTGCAAGTATCTCGGGTACTGAGCATGGGCAGATTTTCCTTATGGATTAAAATTGATTATTGCCCTCATTTTGACATGTGCAGATGGATGGCACAGTGACTGAGGGCCCTTTTGCACTGTGCTGCAGTACAGTACTGCAAGACAAGTTTAATGTAATCTCCAGTAACTGCCTTTGGTTCCATTTCATCAGGAGTTCAGCCCCCTCCTGTGCTCTTCATAGCAAAGATGCACAGTGCAACTTCTGCAGTGTATGTCCCACTCACTTCTTGTTCTTCTATTTTCTTTCTCTGACTTTTGTTCACAGTTTACCTGAACTTGTGAAACACAATGAAAACGGGCTGATATTCAGGGATTCAGATGAGCTTGCAGAACAGCTGAAGGTAAAGACATGAGAGATGATTCTTTCCTACTAGCTCTGACCACAGAAGTGTTGCTACGTGAGCCACGTCATTCTTTGTGACCATCTGTGTATTTTGCATTCTCAGAGGGCACTGCTTTGCCTGCTGGGTCTTATTGGCCACATTTCTATTTGAGTAAAAATCTGAAGCTGTCAAGAGCATACTAAATATTTCAATATTGAACTGTGTGGAGGATAAGACCAAAGATCTCTTTCTTACTGCAACACTGATGTCAAGGGTTAGCACTGGGGAAAGCTAGAATCAATCCAAAATGGAATGCAATGGTATTTTTCTGTTATTTTTTTAACTTACAGATGCTTTTCTTGGAATTTCCCTCACTGGAAGGCAAACTGCATGAGTTCAGGAAAAACCTTCGTGCATCCAAGCAGCTGAGCTGGGATGAGAGCTGGGACCAGACTGTTCTTCCTTTACTTACCCAGACTGAATGACTTTTTGGGGGGATGCCGTGTCAAAAAAGCTACCACACGTATGCACCTCCAGGACTGCCTTAAGTGCTGAATAAACACTTGGTCTTGTTTCCAACTGTCATTTTCAGCTGATCAGACACAGCTCTTCCCTGACCACTGGAGCTTCTTGTGTGGGTAATAACAGTGCAGAAGGTGCAGCTGAGGTTCCTTGTTGTGTGTAAGCCTTTAGGGAAGGTGAGGGTCCTGTGCTGAAGAGGCTGATCCTTGCCATCTGCCTGCCTGTGTGACTGGGGATGGATCTCATCCTCATGCTCTGGCATGGGAAGCTTAGTGACTTGAGGAACTCACGTGCCAATTCTGTTTAATGGGGCTGCCTGGAGGCTTCTTGTGGCTGAAGGTGTTTGAATACATGTATAAACTGCACCAGTTTTGCCTCCTGTACAAGAAACACATTCCTGGTGATTTTATTCTGCAAGTGGGAAACTTCTATTTAATTTGAGTTTTTGTTTGGAATGATGGTACAGCATTTTTCTCTTTTTTCCTATGGTTAACATTCCTGGCTAGTCTTCCCCAGCCATGTACAGAATATCTGCTTGTATTTTTTTACATTGAGACAGAACTACTTAATTTCAGAGGGTTTTTTCCTCTTTTTTTTTTTTATTTTTTTAATAGTGTATGCAAGGTACAGCATCCCAGCTGCTGCTATGGGACAGCTTTATTCAACACTGAGAGGAAAACACACCTTTCCGTGACTGCTGTGCCCACATACTGAAGTAAAGGCGCCCCTTTCCCTCAAGAAAGGAATGCATCTTATGTGTTATTTCAATAGAACAGAAAAGGAAAAGAGATTGAAGTATGAGGGATGTGATGACAGTGCACTTCACTTTCGGAGCAGTCACCCTGGTGTAGCCTTCATGGTTTTTTTTCCCCTCCTTGTTCACATTCTCATGCAGACCCAATGCTTACAGGATGCTTTCTCAAAACCATCTTTTCAAAACAGAAGGCAGCTGTTTAAGGAATAAACGTGCTTGGTTTTAGCATGGAGCTGCTGCCTGCTTGGCTCTCTTCAGAGCCCCTGGTTCAGCAGTGCTGTGTTGTTGCAATGGATTCTGCAGCAGTGTTTCTAAACCAGCTTACAGAGTTTAATATCATGTCATACCTGCTTTTCCCAAGCCAGGCAGTCATTTGCAAACATGACCTTTCTCTTCCACTGTGGTAGACAGACTTGCAAGGAGTGATTTAGTTCCACTGGGGGAAGTGGAACTTTCTTTTGGGGACCAAAAGTTGCTTCCTGTAGGGGTTTGGCAGCTTGACCAACTCAAATGATCCGTAGAGATTTATCTGTGATTGTTTTCCTCTACTGTTTTCCAGCAAATTCCTGTCCCTGTCACAGCAGTCCCCTTTAGCAGTGATGCATATGGAGGTAAACTAAGCATTTCTCTGTCGTACAGAGTGATGCTGGTGAAAGCTTGAGAGAGCTTTGTCTCCCTGTAATAAATTTGGTTAGATCCAATATGAGCCATCTAGCCTTACAGAACTTAGTGACACGAGGGCTTTTGTAGCAGGGAAGATAAAAGAAGCTGCTGCTTCTAGTGCAGCAGGGCTTCATGAGGGCTTCTGGTGTGCATTAACTCCAATTCTTCCTTCTCAGGGAGAAGCAGCTAAAATAAAAATAAAGTCTGGTCAGGTTACTTCTGTATGTCCAGCTTGATTCCAGCAGTCGTGGGCTTCTTCAGCTCGAATGTTTCTTCAATTACCTGTCATTTGTCTTCTCTCAATCACTGCAGAAGGAGGAACTGAATGTATTTCTTCATTTCCTTAAAGTAGCTTCTAAAACAACGTCTAGATATGCAGGTTAATGGAGGAGAAAATAACCTATTCAGTTCTGCTTCAGGATTAACACTGCCCAGTGGCAAACTGGCAATGGATTATGTGAACTTTCAAAGCAGGTAAGCTAAATTCTTCATCTTGCAAAAGGGACAGGGAGATGGGTGAGAGGAATGCAAATCGAGCTGTGATTTTTGTCAGCACTGCAGAGCAGAGGTGTTCCTGCAGCATCAAGTGATCCTGTGACACTCTGCACAGCCTGCAGGCATTACTCATGTTGTTCTGGGGTGGCACACGTTGCCATTTTGCAAATATGCAGACCTACAACAAAAGCTGACATCAATTACAGCTGGTTTTAGTATTAAAAACGTTTATTATAAAACACTGCTCTGCTCCTTTGTCAGTATGAGACGCACACCTGCAGGAGCACGGGGCGAGTCTGTGTCGTTTACAAATCAAAACTGCATTTGAATAATTGAATTCAGCTCTACAGAATCAAAGTGCATCACAATTAGGGTGCTTTTCTGTACAGCTTGTGCTGCACAGATGCTTATAGGCGCAGCTGCTCGCTCGCACGCATGCTGGCAACTGCAGGAAGAAACATCGCTCATCTTGACAGCAGCTGGTGCATATGAGGTATGTGCAGAAGGGGGTTCTTGGTGCATGCCTCTCAGAGGCTTCCAGAATGTAAGACAGTCTTGGAGCAAGGATAAGATAGCTCCTGCTGCTCTGAAGTCCTGTGCTGTATTTACCAAATCTATACCAATAGTTGCAGGACAGTCACGTTGGGCTGGGTGTCATGGAGAAAAATATTACTGCTGTGGGCTGGAATAATCTGCCATCTGATCCCAGCTTTATCTGCAAAGAGAAACGTTGGGATCATCTTTCTGCTTAATGGAATAGAGAGTAAAAGTTGCAGGTCCAGTTCTGTACAAAGAGATCTGTGCATGCTGGAAGGAATGCAGCAGTGTTATTTTGTTAATCAGAGCACTGCTGTGGTCCAGCTGTACTGCTGGAAGGCCTGCAGAAGACAGGGCTTTGAAGTCCTGCATCCCTTGCCTTTCCTTAAATCTCTCTTCTTAACCCTCAAAGAACAGCTACAAGTTGCAGGCCACATCTAAACCTTTTCACAGTTGCAATGTAGGTTTTTTCCTGTTCTAGGCTTAACCCTTATGATCTTTCCTATTAGCACCAAACTTGTGACGTGTCTCAAATTGATGCTGTAACAACTGAGAGTGGTGACAGGATGCAGCAAGGCTGAGATGTCTGAATTTCCTGAGCAAACCCATGCAGGAGGGTCACTGCTCTCAGGCAGAACTCCCCTGAATCCAAGGATCCCATTACTGGACAACACCCATAGCAAAAAGGAAACGTTCCTGTTCATCTCCACTGCAGATTAAGTAATTGGGAGAGGCCAAATCTATTGATACAGTGAATGAAAAAGGCACCTACCGAGTTCAGCCTGGAACACGTGGTAAGTGTCTGCGTTACGGACTGTCAAAGCAACATAGATGTCAGGTTTTCTATCTGCTCTTGAAGTGGAGAACTTCTGTAGCACGCCAATAAGGGCTAAGGTTACCTCTGGATCATACACCACATCTGCATGGGAAAGAAAGGGAAATACTCAGTATTTATTAGGAACTGAGCAGAAAGCAAGCTGCAGAATATAAAAGATCAAATGAAGGAGGAAGGATAAGTACTTCTAACTGAGAGATCAGAAACTTCCAGGAAGAGATTTTAGGAGATGCACTGTTTTCTATGATGAGCAAATTCAAGAAAACGGCTGCTTTCAATGTTATCCCTCATGAGAATGCTGAGGTTCCTATTTAAAATCATGAGGGTCTTAAAAGTGGCAGATTTATCATCTGTTTCTGGATTGATAAAAATACAGAAAGAAAAAATAATTTGCTCTTCAGTGTTAGGTAAACAGCTGCTGAATAGGTGAAACAAGACAACATGGTGCAAGGAGCTGGGAGGCATTTCTCCAGGTCCTGTAACTGAGGTTGTCTGAGCCCTGTACACAAATCATCAGAATCACAGAATGGCCTGGGTTGCAAAGGAGCACAGTGCTCATCAGTTCCAACCCCCTGCTGTGTGCAGGTCGCCAGCCAGCAGCCCAGGCTGCCCAGAGCCACATCCAGCCTGGCCTGGAATGCCTGCAGGGATGGGGCATCCACAGCCTCCTTGGGCAACCTGTGCCAGTGCCTCACCACCCTCTGGCTGAAAAGCTTCCTCCTAATATCCAACCTCAATCTCCCCTGTCTCAGTTTAAAACCATTCCCCTTGTCCTGTCACCATCCACCCTCACAAACAGCCGTTCCCCCTCCTGTTTTTATGCTCCCTTCAAGTACTGGAAGGCCATAACAAGGTTTCCCCAGAGCCTTCTCTTCTCCAAGCCACACCAACACAAATATCTTTGTGTTTATTTCTGTTACCTGCTTTGTCCTGCGTGATACTGCAAAGCCAGCCATAACCAGAAGGGAGAGGTACCTGCTGCAATGATGACATCTGCGTGCAGAGCCAGCAGTTGCTGTTCTGTTACTGAACCCCAGTCGAGCTCTGCAACAAGGAGTTTGGGCTGCTGATATTCCTGCCCTTCTGCCTCCTGCCCTTGGGCTGGATTCGTAGTTTCAGGCTCCAGGGTAAAGCCATTCAAACGGATGTTTTCTGTCAGCTGTTTGAGGACACCGTGGTGGCAGTCGCTGAACACGTACGTCTTGGGATTGCAGGTTTTGCAGATCACAAGTCCAGTGAAGCCGACTCCACTTCCTAATTCCAAGACTGTCCTAAAGGTTAATGGTGTAAAATAAGTATTGATGAGGACTCTGTCATTTAGTTGTGTAATCAGAATATTCCAAGTGTATCTAAAGGTAAATTCAGCTACAGATTATCTCAGTTTTTGAGCAAATCCTCTACGATCTAACGCGTGTTTCAAGTAACTGGTGAAGTTGGCAAACAAGATACAGTTATAAGAATTAATCACTGGAATTATTAATTCCATCATGGGGGTGAGAATCATTCCACCTATTTCTGGACTTCTGGAGCAGTTTTCTGTATCTGAACTGGCTGTCCACTTCTTTTCTTAGTGCAGAGAAGCGGATGTTTCTAAAGCACAGTTCTTTTCTTTGTGAGGTACTTGAAATGAATATAGCTGAAGCCATGCCCAGAAGTGCCCATTCCTTTCTGGTGCTTAAATACAAAGCAAATTTCAGTATCTACAGGAGGGCTATAAGAAAGAAAGGGACAGATTCTTTAGCAGGATTTGTTGTGATAGGACGAAGGG